AACCCAAAATACATTCTGGTCACCAGATTCATCATAGAACTCTTGTTATTATGTTTAGCTAATTCAAACTAAACAATTCCAATAGATATGACTTGGAAAGTGTTATTTTTGGTAATGCGATCTTGGAAGAGAAAAAGAACGGTATTGACCTATAGGATGTATAATATATTTCATGAGAAAAAAATTCCCAAATGGAGATTTTTATGAAATGCATTTGTGGTGACCAGTATGGGACAAATGATAAACATCGAATGATCAAGCTAAAAATATTTATTCTAGTTGATACAGCGTAGTACAAGAACCAACATGCTGCTGAATTACAGCATATATATATAATGTATCTTATGAAAAATATTCCCAAATCAAAAATTCCCCAAAACTAAAATCCCCATTTGGTGACCAGAATTTATATCAATTGCTTTTTTTTCACCAAATGGGGATATGATTTGGGGGTTAATTCAGGGAACCACAATTTGGGGCAAGTGATAACCTACCAATAGTAAAATCTTCATATCTATCAGATAACTTTCACTAAAACTTTGAGACCATAACCAATTGAAGCCACGTCAACTAAACTCTGTTCCAAGCTTCTTCATCAGATTTATCCTATTCATCTGAGTTCTCGTACTGTTACAACATTGGAAATAATTTTGGATTATAAAATAAATGTATTTTACTGAACTAAAACTTTACAAAAAAAAAGTCTCACACAAGCATTAAACATACTTACAGTAGGATAATCAAATTATTGATAAATGTGATAGATATGTTAGTGTAGCACATTTAATACTAATATGCGATTTACCATCACTTTTTATTGTACCATGCACATTGAGTAAATGTCTAATTGGAAAAAAAAAACATGATTGATTAGCAAGTTTAGCAACTGATGTTTGTTTTTCATTATTAATCATTGATTTTGAATATAATTCATCATTCATTTTATATACTAAAATATCGTGTTGTTTATTAATTTCAATAAATCAACGTTGATATGTTGAATAATCTATTATTTTAGAAAAAAAAACACATAACAAAAAAAAACTTGTTGTTCTCTTTTCACAATATTTACCTGTGTTTAATGTGTGACTAATACAAGTTACTTCTATAGATCCAATTTGAATTGCAATTAATAATTGATCAAAATCAAATAAATTTAAATATAATTTCATGTGTTTCCAATAAATTTCAAATTACAATATGATCTTTTATGTTGTAAACAAATATAAAATATCGTATCAACATATTAAAAAATAAAGATTTACATAGAAAATAAAATCATTCATTATTTATCAAATACTGATTGAAAGATGTTGTTCATTTGTACCAATATTTCTAGTTCTTGTTATTGATCGTTGACTTTTTCTTGATGATGATTGAAATTTTTTGATATTTAATTTAAGATAACCAATTATTAAAATTTTACTATGATTTTGATTATAATGCTCAAATAATTGATCTGTTAAAATAAAAGACAAATTACAATTAATTGAAATAATTATTTGAAAGAAAACTTGCCAATTACCTTTATCATTAGAAAACGTTCTATAATCATAGGATAACATATTGACTGAATAGGACATGAGAGGTTCCTGAAAATAATTTAGTAATTGATTATATATTTTAAAAGAAAATTATTTATTATTAATATTAGGAAAAAAAAAGAAAAATTCATTCTCACTCGACCATACTGTGGTGTATTTGATTTCAATCTGAATTCAAAACAGAAAATGGAATTTAATTTCGAACTGAAATTGGAGTTTTGCCAGTCTTTAGATTTTATATGACAGTATATGTCGTATAGAACCTATAAATCTTATATAACCTGTATATTCCCTTATTTTTAAAGAGGTGCGGGTCTTTGCGGGTCTTTAGACTTTATATGACGTTATATACGTTAAAAATGACGTCTTCAGATGTGGGTGAGGGTGTTTACAGTTAGATCATCATTTATACTCTATATATCCTATTTTTTTATGGGCTGTCAGTCTTTTGCGTGTTGGTGAGGCTTGGCGGGTCTTTGCGGGTCTTCGCGGGTCTTTATCGCAAAATTCAGTTTGAAATCAAATATACCATAGACTCATATTTAATGATAAATAAAATTTTATTATTCTTACTGCAAATGATGAACAGTTTCTCAATCGGTATTTCGTCAAATAGTATGAGACTACCTATTCTACATTATATGAAAAATATCCTCTCCTGCTCTAAGCTTTAACTAAAAATGGACTCAGCAGTTGTTGATTAACTAGAGCAATCCTTTTCTATGTTTCTATTCAATCGCATAACTTTTTTCTAATTACTTCTTTAGAAGAGGTTTCTTAGATGACAAGGATTTTCTTTTTTACTTACGTTGATTTTTTCATCATTAATTGATCAACCAAGAATATAAAAAATAAGTTCATTATATTCTGATAAAATGATTGAATCTGTTTCGAATGTATTACATTTGCTGATTCGTCAAATTGCCACACCACATCGAATTAAAATTGAAATAAAACAAACCTTTGAATGCTTTTTATCCAACATTAGGATTATCTTTTATAATTCCATGTGATTCAACTTGAATTCTTGTTAAATTTGCTTCTTTTAAATCCTATTTTATAATTTATACAAAATTATTAAAAAAAAAAGAATTTCTTTTATACTACTTTTACAATAGCCGTAACTGATTTAAAATTATTTTCATCTTTACCTCTAGATAAAAAAAACAACGTTCGATAAAAGATAAAAGCAAAATGAAAAAACAAAAAAAGACTTGAATTATTTACTTGGTTATTAATGTTTCTCATGTTGTTGTTGAAAATAATTTTAAAACTTCAAGTGATTTACTTAGTTTATCCATTTTGTTTAATTTATATTGAATTCATTTATTTTAAAGCTAAATAAATAAGTTTAAACATTTTTTGATAATCATAATAAATGAATGAATAGTTGACGGGAAAAGTTCAACGTCGATTGAATATTCACCTTCATCAATGAATGAACGAAAAACTATTCTACAAATATTTATATTAGATCCATAATTTTGACTGTAAATTATTATTTAAAAAAAATCAACTACTGCACTTGATCTATTTGAACCTCTGTTTTATTATATTATATTCAATCAATATGATCGTAAAATAGTATTTTTTTAAAACGTTATGTAATGAGTAACAAAGATGATTAAATTTATAAAAAATTCTTTTCCACTTTCTTCTTTCAATTATCTCTTATATATGTGTATGTTACTAATCAAAGAAAATAGTCGATAATTATTTTTGTGTTCTTCTTTCGTTCAGTCATCACTCGTATACCATGATATTGAGTGCACGACATCTCATTTGTTCTTACACATTCGAGATGAAAAGAAAAATAAATTGAACATAACATGTGTAAAGATCACATAGATATCGTGCACTCAATAGCGCAACATGCGTCAAAACAACCGGTTGTCATCATATGCTGCGTATTATAATTCCGTCCACGTCGTCTCTCATCGCGTATTTGTTTATTCTCGTTCTTCGTAACAGAAGAACAAAAAATTTAAAACAAACGGAGCGTTTGAGGGTGGCCCTAAAACAAAATGAACCTTCCCAGGGATATCCGACGCTCTGTTGATAACCTGTACAAGCGTGCAGATGGTAGGCCTTCGTAACATACATGTATGTTTGATTAGAAGCATGCATCTTATCATCGTCTTTCCGAAGATGATGATCATGGATGCACTAGTCATACGTACATAAATGTATGTTTGGTTTATCATTGCCGGCTTTGTCCACTGTACAACCCAACAGAATACGGAGGGTATCCCTGGTCGCGCGTGCGCGAAATTATTGCAGCTGGTGCGCTTCGGTGAGGCAAACGTGTTCAAGAAGGGCAATTTATTTTCTTGTTTAAAAAAAAAAATTACATTTTCTTTTTCACATTGTCAATGTTTCTTTTCACACCCGCAATATACGGATGATTTGAAGGTAGTGATTTTTTCCATATGTCTTGCGCCTTTTCGTAATATGAAAGTGCTTTCGAGTACTCGCCCATGTGAGAATACACCATACCGATGTTGTTGTAGGAAGTAGCCAAGTCGGGATGATTCGGAGGGAGAGCTTTTTTTCGGATTTCTAGCGATCGTTCATACGATGAAAGTGCTTTCGAGTACTCGCCCATGTTGTCATACACCAC